GATAACAAGTCAAATCCAACTTTCAATTCTTGTTATGAACTCTATTCCAATATTTCATTCAAGAACCTCTAATCTTTAATCTTCTCTATCTCCTTTATCTTTTGATCTTAAGATAACTTAAGCTTTCCTTAAGCTTAGTTATCATCTAATGATCAAAACCCAATCTTAAACTTAACAAATAATTAACTAAGTAGAAGACTCACCTTTGAGCTTGGAGATACGAGAGGAGAGGAAGAAGAGGAAGAAAAGAGAGTTTCTGGAGAAATCTCTCAATCTTATCCCATATATATCATTATCTTATCTTTCCAAGTCAAATGACCACTTTGCCCTTAAAATCCTTTAATAATTACTAACAACTTTTAGAATTTATTTTCAGATAAATCATTGAACTAATTCATTCTTCTACTTTAATCACCAAATTCTGAAACTTTACAATTAAGTCACTATCCCATAGTTTGGGATGTTACAGGAGGAAACGATTGTACATGCTCTGAGGGACTGCCTAATAATTTTGGAGGTTTTACGTATGGCAGATTTTCCTGCTTCTGTCTATTTGAGTGCTACAGATACTCCTCTTTTATAGGTGAGGAAGTTTTTTTTCAAATTCTGGAATTGACACTTTTGCTGGTTTCTTAACTATTTTATGGAATGCTTGGAATAACCAAAACTCTTTTGTTCATAATGATAGGTTGCAACGGGCTTGGATCTTGGTGACCAATGCTAAGGTACTACATAAAGACTATTTACGGTCTCTTAGTGTGGGGACGAATATGTCACAGGTTGCATGTACAGTTACTAGATGGGTTCCTCCTTTAGAGGTATCATCAAAGTAAATATGGATGGTGCATTTGTTACGGAGCGAAGACTAACAACTATTGGCATTGTAGCTCGTGATAAGAGTGGCCAGGTTTGTGGTTGTTTGGCACAGCCTTCTGTTGGATGTTTCGAGGCGGGATTTGCGGAACTTTATGCCTTGCTTGCTAGTCTTAGGATGACTAGTGATATGTGATGGTCTGATGTTCAGTTTGAGACTGACTGTTTGTTGCTTGTCAATAAGATTACACGAACTGCTACAGAAATTTCCATCTTGGGGGTGTATGTTCAGGAGGCTCGTACTATTTTTTCAGGAACACCCTCATTTTTGTATTATCTATGTCCTTAGAGAATGTAATCGGGTTGCTCATGCCTTAACTAACTGGGCTTTACATTCAGGTGGTTCTATGTTTTTTAGACAGTTTATCCTGATATTATTACTCGGGATATTATAAACAATATACTTGATCTTTGATTAATAGATTTGGGTACTCTTTTGCCCTACTCGAACGCCATTGATTTTCCCTCATAAAAAAATATTCCTATTAAACCTATGTTACTTTTAGAATTCAATTCATTAAACGCATTATTAATAATATCGATAAAAATCCAAACTGAGTTTATACCACTGATAATAATTTCGTCATGTAATCAAGAACTCAAGTTGAAGGTTTAAAGTTAGCGTATGGAAAAATCTATTAATCGACTAAGCAGTCATAGTTCTCATGGATACTTATGCTATGTTATTTCGTTTAAATTAACGTGTAAAGGTATTTTACATGCTAATTAACTATATACACGTTATATTAGTGTGTGGGTCGTGTGGGGCAAAACAAATAAATGTGGTATACTTTATTTGTTTTAATATTCGTTAAATTGTGTGCCATATGATTCCATTGGTTCCACCTATGCTGTAGATATATTAGTTTGCATTATTTTGGCTAACCGCCCGTTGCTTGGCATGCAATTTGCCACGTCTCAAATTGGGGGCATACCTTGCACCGTATTCTGGTGGGAGAGTAGACTATTCATTCATAATGGTCACATACAGGTTTTGTCTAAACCTGTCTGAATCCGATAATCGAGATGGAAATTGATCGGTCCGATTGTTGATGTTAAACTGGATTTAAAGCCAACAGTTGTAAATCAATAAAAATAACTGTTTTTTTATTTAATCATTATTAACTAAAAATTAATGGTTTTCATCGGTTCAATTAACGGGTGTCAATAAATAAAATAAAAAATGTTGACACAAAATTGTTGTGCTCGTTCATGTTCTAAAAATACTAAAGTACAAACAAAAATAAAGGGTAAACTGCAAAAAATGAACATGATCATCATAAATAAAAATTTAAATATAGAAATTAAATGTGTTGTAGTATAAAAAATCGTAAGCCCAAATTTTTAGTAACATCAACAATAATAAAAAAAACAATAAGGGGCGAGCTAATGATAGGATTAATCAATTTGATCAAATTATAGTGATCAATATGTACCATTTTGGTTAACAAATTCTCGTAACTTATATTTATATAATTTATCATAGATTCTTTTTACTCTTTTGGCCACAACAATGAATCTTCAGTCGTACTTCCACTAACTCTTATAGTGCATGTAACTGTAACATCCAGTCGCTTTGGCCGAGTGGTTAAGGTGTGTGCCTGCTAAGTACATCGGTTTATCCCGCGAGAGTCTGAATCTCTCAGGCGTCGGGTTTCCAAGCATTTTGTTACTGCTATTAATGCAATCGGTTATTAATTGATATTTGAACATTTCTAATGGGAACCAGTTTTGACCTCAACGCTGCTCATTATCAAACCTTAACCCCAACAATCCTCTTACGTTCCCAGCATATTTTCCCACCACGTTGCGTGTAGTCACATCTCCCCAAAGCATTTGGTCCGATTCCAACACTCCTTTGCCATCGCCAACGTTTTTGAAGAAGCTCACCTCAAACTGTCTGATTATTTATATCTAATATCACCCTTTTCGAGCCGGCACCTTTTCTCGGACAAAAATATTGAAGTTGTGCTAAGAACTATTGTTTAACCGCCGGGTCTGCACTTCCTGTTACAGTGGAGTTGTATAGGCGGAATCAGAAACTTGGTTACTTTATTTATTGTTTGTTGGCAAAGAAATTATGTAATTTATGTATATAGTAGTATATACATACCGACTAAGGTTACAAGATCGTGGTCGCCTTTGCAGCAAATTTTTGCCTTTGGGCAGCAACGGACTCGAGTGGAGACAGTAAACTTGAGGCTTGTGATGATAAAAGAAACCCTGCCGTCCCTTCTTCCGGTTGGAACAGTCCAAATTATACCATCACTCTGAAATGAATCAAATTAACGAAATTTCATGTGGATATGTGCGCGCGCGCACATGCTATTATATGTTAGTAGGGGAAAAAAAGCTACCAAGTCGACACCATCGTAAGCTGCCAATGCTTAAGATATAACCGCAAGTCCTCAAAGTCCAAGGTTCAGCAATGCACTTCTCTCAGCGAAAGAGCCAGAGATCAACTCCAAGCCGTCTCAGCCCTGTATGAAAATCATGTTACCATTCACATTCCGTCATTAGGAAGATATGTCCAAAGATTAGTTAATAAGAAGACATCAGTCATGGAAATGAAGCCTAAACAAGTCAGCAGCACCTGTAGGATCATTGTTGAAGTGAGATTCCACAGTAGACCCTACAACAGCTTCAACCTTTGGACATGAAGAATAAAATCCATTGTGCAAACCTATTACCAGGGAATCATTTTCAAGAACAATTCACCTATTACCAAAATTCAACTACTCGCTTGCTTGTTCAAGAAGACTAATTCGTTTATCAACTATGTCTCATTTTGCATTCTCGGCATACCATTTCATTTCCCCGACATTTTTGCTGGAGGATCCTGCATCCATCTAGAAAAGCTTTTAATACCTCTGCACTATTTCAATCTGGTGTTCCTTAATAATGGTCCGCACCTCATTGATGAATCCAGCATGAGCTAGAAGGGCTACCATTCTAAGCTAACTCAATGAATCCTGCTTTGACATACATCTCCGTTAAAACATCCTGGACTATTAGATTCATGTTTATTCCATTCCTAAACAAGTAGGCATGTAGGTCTTTCCCTTGCTTATGAGCCGGTACTCTTGCATAAACGGGAAGAATGCTAGTAATTTTGAGAGTACCGGATTTGATTCCAACCTTAGTTACTAGCCGGAAAAATTGAGGGCCTCATCATATCTCCCATTTTGACATGTCTTCGAATCATCTCTGTCCATGAAATAAGATATCTGGATGGCATTGCATCAAATTGAAATGGAGCTTCCTTCAGACTACCACAATCAATATACATTTTCATCAGTGAATTGCTGACAAGTATATTAAATTCCAAACCGCATTACCTAGCAATCTTATGCACTTTTCTTGCCTGTTTCAATGACTTTAAGAGGGAACATGTGCCAGAAGCTGTTGCCAATGCCACTGGGTCAATGTCGGCCTTCAACCGAAGCAGTTAGTTAAGGATCTCAACAGCCGAGTGGGGTTTATCGTCCACCAAGTAGCTTAGCTAGTATAGTGAGAGCAACAGAAGTGGAAGTGGTGTCATTATCCAACACCATGTAGACGACCATACAATTGCATTAAAGCGGTGATGACATAAAGGTCGGAGGAGAGCCCAATCCTGAAAGCATGGGCATGAACTTGCTTCCCAGACGCACTTGGAGCAGAGACAGGATGTTGTTAAGACGCGGGGAGAGTATGATTATCGGGACGGACAGCACAAAGCATCATTCCATGATAAACAGAGAGAGCATTCCGAGTATATTTATTGGAGAGACTGGTTTGGATCAAGTGGTTTCAGGCGTATGTCTTTGGTTGGGGAATTTCATCAATCATTCCATAGGCGAAGTCCAATTTATTCACAATCCAATTTGATCCTTAAACTTTTCTAATCATATTAATCCTTCAGCTTGGATTTTTTGTTATTGTGATGGCATGAAACTATGGAATTTACAATGTGACATAATCTCAAATTATCACATCATTAGAAAGAGGAATCTGTTGCGCACTAAAATTTATGATTATACCAAAACGTGGCTTCAATTTGTATAGGATTTACATGTGTTAGTATCTAAAACTTCCATTATAAAAGCATGATATTTGGTAAGGAAAGCAAAAAGCAAAGCGGAATAATTTTCAAGCATAATTCACCTATTACCAAAACTTAACTACTTGGCTGCTTGTTCAAGAACAGGACTCATTTTCCATGTCTTGTCCGATCCGTTGATTTGCAGTGGAGGCAACGAGCAAACGCTAACAGTTGAGCTTCCAATCCGAATTTCCTTGAGTGCTAGCAATGCTGATATTGTGCTTTTCATATATAAGCTCTCCACATTCTTTGCTTCACTGGAAGATGGTTTTTCATTCTTGGGGAAGACATGTTCCAGCATCATCTCGCACTCCTTCACCAGCTTGTAAAGCAAGTCCATGGTGCAGAAGGGATGTTGCAACACCCTTTGAATGAAAGGCAAACGGATCAAAGCACCTGTTCTTTTTTCGTACTTCTTCAGTATTTTCACCAACCCTGTTCGTAGCATATAGAGTTAAATGATTTAATTCACTTGATAAGGCAATGACATTAATGCTAAGAGCCCATAATGAATCAGTTTCCAGGAGACCGGTGCAATTCTGCTCTGCCCAGCAGGATTCAGTACAACTCTAATTATATTGTCTATAACCCTTTTTACCGATTACATATCGTTACCAAATGATTGTTCTCAAACAATACAATTGGGATAATTGAAGTCAGACCAGACTGCCATAAAGCTATGATAGTGGCAGCACATGGGGAAGCAAATGCTCCCAATGCATTCAAATGGACCATTCAAAGAAATGGTGAGAATTTAATGTTTAATTAAAGATTGGATGTGGATACGTTACGTTGTATGGCGGAGTATTGATGTCAAGGAAATGCATACAACACATTAGATTATAACACCAACAGGCTGTTGTAAAGGAGTTTGCAAGTTGCTACAAATCTAATAACTTCCCTAGACAACTCATTCGGCCTTCTAAAACAGTGTGCTATTATTAATTACGTAAAGCATTGAAAAATATATTTGTATCTAGCCATGGAAGTCCACTATTTCCTTCCAAATCTTTATCATCTTTTCATTAGAATCATTTGCCTTTACCAAGTTATCTTCTGATTACTGCATCCCAACCCAAAATAACAAATCAAACACTTTACACAATGGAAAACCCATATGATCAAAACTTTGAAGGCATCACATTATGGTTACGCTGTGAGTGAAAATAAAAAAAGTTCACAAGTAGAATTAGAATGATGACAAATGGAGTATTCTATTATATTTATTTTTTAAATTTTAAAATATATATCAAGAGACTCTTGCCGTAATTGTCTACTTATGAAGTTTTTTATTTCTAGTGATAACCCATCTAACAGAAAAGTTAATTAGCAACAAATTAACATGCAGATTTGCAAATTAAAGATTGTGCTTCAAGGTACAATCCTTTTAATAAATGAGCTGAGCGCTAATCCATGTGGCATAATCCTAACGGGGTGCTCAGTTGGCGAGAAAATGACAGAACGGAACGGGAGGCTGATAATGGGAGGAAGGGGGTGGGGAGGGTGAGAAGAAGGGATAAATATAACAGAAAATTGAAGAATATTCGGAGGGAAGCGGTGAGAATATCCAACGGTTTCTTTATTTTTCGGGTAAACTATAGGGATGGTATCTTATGTTTCAGACCCATCCAATTTTAGCCACCGGTTCAAAAAAGGTGATTTTAGTCAATTATATTATCGATTCATTCGGTTTTAATCCTTCAGCCCTAAACTCCTGTTAACACACTAAAAAAAGTCTAAGTTGACAATTAAAAAATAAATAAATAATTTGTCTTTTCTCCTTCCTGCAAACAAGTTTTCTTCCTACTATAAGCTCCAGCTGCACAACACCAAAATTCTGTGGAAATCCAATACATGGGAAGTCTCACAACTCTTGATCTCTCTTTTAATAATTTCACTGGCAGAATACCCACCGGTGACCAAATTTTAGCCTTCAACGATAGCTCGTTTACCGGAAACCCCAATCTATGCCTACCACATCGGATTACTTGTTCATCTTTGGTGAACCAAGCTGAAGGTTCCAGTCATGGGCATGCGACATCTTTCACTGCTTCAAAGATTGTTATCATCATCCTTACGTTGACCACAATTCCCTGATGATGATCGCCACGGTGTACAGATTGAGAAAGAAGAGGCACGAGAAATCACGAGCATGGAAGCTCATTGCTTTCCTAAAACTAGATTTCAAAGCTGATGATGTGCTGGATTGCTTGCAAATAGAGAACATTGTAGGGAAAGGTGGAGCTGGAACTGTCTGTTAGGAAAATAAACCGAGTACAAGTAATTTCCCTATAACCAGATTAGTGAGAATGCGAAATAAAAGCGGAAAAATAATACCCGAAAATTGATAACGGAGTTCAGCCAATTGTGCTTACGTCTCCGGGCTGCTGCAGATCTTTTACTAAGAGAGAAAATTTACAGGTGTTTACAAAACACTCACTACTCACAAGAAAGCTCTCTAGTATAGGAAGAAAGAAATGTTTTGGGATGATTTTGAAGCTAAATGGGTAAGGGTATTTATAGTAGAAACTTAGGGACTAATCTTTGAAAATACCCTAAAGTGCAATGACTAAAGTGAATTTACCCATTCCTATTTTCAACAAACATCTACCAAAATTTTACCAAACTTTGAAAAACATTTTTCAAAGAAACATTTACCAAACTTTGAAAAAAACATTTTCCAAAGTTGGTTGCCAAACTTTGAAACTTTTAACAATCTCCCACTTGAAGACTGATTTTAATATGTCTTCACACCTCGATCAATGCAGCAGCATGTCTGGTCTATTTATTCTAGCATGCCAACTGAAGTTGAACACAACTTCAGTTTGTCCGTAGTCACCGTCTTTGTCAACATGTCTGCCGGATTTTGAGCTCCACTAATCTTTTCAAGTTTCAAAATCCCATCTTCCAGAAGAGACCGGATAAAATGATATCTCAATTGTATGTGCTTTGTCCTGGAATGAAAAGACGGATTCTTTGCTAGATGGATAGCACTTTGACTGTCGCAATACAAGATATTGTTTTCTTGTTTCTTGCCTAACTCTTCCAAGAAACTTTGGAGCCAAACCATCTCCTTGCTGGCTTCCGTAACAGCGACATATTCTGCTTCAGTTGTGGAGAGAGCAACTATCTTCTGTAGTTGAGAAACCCAACTCACTGCAGTTCCTCCTAGAGTATAGACATACCCTGTAGTGCTCCTTCTGATGTCGACATTTCCGGCTAAGTCAGCATCTACATAGCCTGTCAGTATCATATCTCCACCTTTGAAACAAAGTGCTTTGTTTGTGGTACCACGAAGATATCTGAGGATCCATTTGACTGCTTCCCAGTGTACCTTGCCCGGATTATTCATGTACCTGCTAACAGCTCCCACTGCATGAGCAATATCTGGTCTGGTACAAACCATGGCATACATCAGACTTCCAATTGCTGAGGCATACGGCACCTTCACCATGTGTGCACGTTCTTCCTCCGTCTTTGGTGATTGGTCTTTGGAGAGTCTGAAATGAACACCTAAAGGTGTACTTACTGGTTTAGCATCTTGCATGTTGAACCTGGAGAGTACTTTGTTGATGTACTCAGCCTGTGATAACATCAAAGTCCCCGACTTTGTGTCTCTCTTGATCCTCATCCCAAGAATCTGCTTTGCAGCGCCCAGATCCTTCATAGCAAACTGCTTCGACAATTTTTGCTTCAAGTGTATAATCTCTTGCATGTCTGAGCCTGCAACGAGCATGTCATCAACGTACAATAATAAAATAATGAAGCTGTTGTCGAACCTCTTGATGTAGCAACAATGATCTGCTTGGCATCTGATAAAACCACTGCTACTCATGAAGCTATCGAACTTCTTGTACCACTGTCTAGGAGCTTGTTTTAAACCATACAAGCTCTTCTTCAACCTGCATACCAGGTTTTTCTTGTCTGCCTCTATGAAGCCTTCTGGCTGCCTCATATAGATTTCTTCCTCCAAATCACCATGAAGGAAAGCTGTCTTTACATCTAACTGCTCAAGATGTAAATTCTCTGCAGCTACAATTTTCAACACCAGTCTGATTGTAGACAATTTTACGACTGGAGAGAAAATTTCATTGTAGTCAATACCTTCTTTTTGCTGAAAGCCTTTGACAACCAATCTTGCTTTGTAGCGTTTGCTCCCATCGTGCTCTTCTTTGATCCTGTAAATCCACTTGTTGTGGAGCGCTTTCTTGCCTGGTGGTAATTCAGCTAATTCCCATGTCTGATTTGACATAAGCGAGTCCATCTCATCTTTCATGGAAGACTCCCACTTGACTGAATCCTCCACTTGCATTGCTTCATCATAGCACTCTGGTTCACCATTGTCAGTCAGCAACAAGTAGTGTAAAGAAGGAGAATACCGTTGGATTGGTTTAGGAATTCTGGAGGAGCGTCTCAGTTCTGGTGTGCCTGGTTCTTCTTGAACTGCTTCAGGATTGATCTGAACATCATTTCCAGAAATCTCCTCGAACTCAGCAAATTCCTTTGTTTCAGCTTCGGTATTACTTGATTCTGCGGTTGATCTATCTTTGTACATCACATTTTCATTGAAAATGACGTCTCTGCTTCTGATGATCTTCCGATTTTCATAGTCCCAAAACCGGTAACCGAACTCATCACCGCCATAACCAACAAAGGCACATTTGTTGGACTTAGCATCAAGCTTACTTCTTTCAGCAGAGTCTATGTGTACATAAGAAATACAACCAAACACTCTTAAGTGTGAAAGGTTTATTTCTTTCTTGCTCCAAACTTCCTCTGGTATTCTGCCATCCAAAGGAACTGAGGGCCCACGGTTGATCAAGTAAGCTGCAGTGTTGATTGCTTCAGCCCATAGAAATTTGGGCAAGCCGGCATGTATCCTCATACTTCTGGCACGTTCATTCAGAGTTCTGTTCATGCGCTCTGCTACACCATTATGTTGCGGTGTCTTGGGAACTGTTGTCTCCATCTTGATCCCATTGTTTGCACAGAAATCTCTGAATCTACTGTCTCTGTACTCTCCTCCATTGTCAGACCTCAACCGCTTGACTTTCAAACCAGTCTCATTTTCCACCATGGCCTTCCATTTTCTGAAGGTATCAAAGACTTCTGATTTCTTCTTCAGAAAATAAACCCACACCTTCCTTGTTGAATCATCGATGAAGGTGACATAATATAGTGAGCCTGCAAGAGATGGAACTGGGGATGGTCCCCATACATCAGTATGAATCAATTCTAACCTTTCTGTCTTGGGTGTCTTGCCAATCTTTGCAAAACTGACTTTCTTTTGTTTGCCAAAGATGCAATCCTCGCATAGTCCGACATCTACATTCTTTAGATCCGGCAGCTTCCCTTTTGACAAAAGTGTCTTCATCCCTTTCTCGCTCATATGGCCGAGCCTTTGGTGCCATAGGTTTGATTTTCCATCAGCATCTGCTACTGCAATGATAT